TTAACTAAACCATTATAAGGTTTACACACTTCTCTCAACCACTAAAAGGTTCCCATATACCTCAACCGTTACAATACGTTATTAACTAAACCATTATAAGGTTTTTCCACTCTTTACATACCTACGTCTGATACACAAGATATCAGATCTTTAGTCTAACAAACGTCCTTTTTCACTCTTATCATACCTACGTCTGATACACGAGATATCAGATCTTTAGTCTAACAAACGTCCTTTTCCACTCTTATCATATCTACGTCTGATACACAAGATATCAGATCTTTAGTCTAACAAACGTCCTTTTCCACTCTTATCATACCTACGTCTGATACACAAGATATCAGATCTTTAGTCTGGCAAACGTCCTTTTCCAACTCCCACAGCACAGCCTCGACAATAGGGACCATCATAGCTGTAGTAGCTGTGTTACTAATCCACATAGACAAGAACATGGTGGTCAACATGAACCCCAACATTAACCTGTAACACGAACCTTAGTATTAGCCTAAAAGTACAGCACGAATGCAGTGATAAGTATCAATTCCATACACGTATTACATGAATAAAACATAACGAAGAACGTGAATTTAAGTCCTGCATTAAACATAAAACACAACACGGAAGAAAGATGTTAATACGGATCTTTGCATACAATTGTAAGGAAATTTTAGAAAGGAAAATGGTAGTCAGTATAAACTTCTTCTTTAGGTTATATGCAGAACATTAAATTTGACGTAAGATATTATAATATTAGACAACACTTAACAGAGACTATGGAATGACCTACTAGCTAGGGTTTGTTCCCAGGAGAAGGAGGACTTCTAAGACATTACAGGGGATGTGAGAGGACCTACTAGCTAGGGTTTGTTTCCAGAAAAAGTAGGACTTTCATAGCTTTTCAGAGACATTGAGAGGACCTACCATATAGTGTTTGTTCCCAGGAGAAAGAGGACTTCTAAGACATTACAGGGACTGTGAGAGGACCTACCGTCTAGTGTTTGTTTCCAGAAAATAATAGAGGACTTTCGAGATTGTGAAAATACTTACCATCTAGTGTTTGTTTCCAGGAAAAGGGGGACTTTCAAGACTTTACAGTGACATTGAGAGGACCTACCATATAGTGTTTGTTCCCAGGAGAAGGAGGACTTTCAAGACTTTACAGTGACTGTGAGAGGACCTGCCATCTAGTGTTTGTTTCCAGAAAATAATAGAGTACTTTCGAGACTGTAAAAATATTTACCATCTAGTGTTTGTTTCCAGGAAAAGGGGGACTTTCAAGACTTTACACTGACTGTGAGAGGACCTACCATCTAGTGTTTGTTTCCAGGAAAAGGGGGACTTTCAAGACTTTACAGTGACTGTGAGAGGACTTGCCATCTAGTGTTTGTTTTCAGAAGAAGGAGAACTTCCAAGGTTTAACAGAGGCTGTGAGAAGACTTACCATCTAGTGCTTGTTCCCAGAAGAAGGAGAACTTTCAGGGCTATTCTTTTGTGTAAGTTGCATTCTTCTACAGCGGCGGCAACAATAAGTCCTCCAAGAAACATCATCATGGTATCCTGCACGATTACATCAATTATATCATTAGACTAGGTGAGAAGTGATAATTTTATAATCAAAAGAAGCCTAAATATATGCGTTAACTTGACCTGCTGATTGTCCACAAAGTAATCTAGAAACTTAGTAAGTTTTCTATACTAGTTTTTCAAGCTTACCTTCATGTACGGGTAACAGACCTCTGCTGTACTCAGGATTCCAAAAAGCGGAAATAGAAAAACCGGAAACAGAGCTGTGACGAAGATAGGAACAGGCTCAACTACGAAGAATGCAGCCATCATTAATACCACATAGGCACACTTGGCCACCTACCGAATAAAGAAGAAAATAACCAGTTTGTTGCATCTCACTTTATACTCGATCTAATTCGATCGTTAGGTACTTGAAACATTATGAGCTCGGGACCATAAGCGTTTGAATTTTCGATGTTTCAATATGATATGAGTCATGGTTTTCTATTCACAATTTTCAAGACACCAACTGGAAATTCTGGGCACGCTTCTGAAATACAGCCTGGAATGGACGTATACAAAGTCCAACTAAATTAAATATAGTTAAATTATCTTGAAAAGAAGTGCTAACAACAATATACTTCAATGTTTGTAAATGTCTTTGCCTGAATGAGTTTCTGGGGTTAAAGGTTAGAAGCTAAACTACATGTTCTGATTCCAGAATCATTTGTACATGGAGCACAATAAGCACGTGCAGATGTCACCTAATCTTTCAGGTTCAAATTCGGACATTGAACTTCAGTTTGTGTAAAAAAGTGTACAAATCCTTAAACATTATTGCAGTACAGTACCGATAATGGCTAAAGTGAGTATTTCTTATTTAGGTTTGTTGTTTACATCAATTCTTAAAGTTCTACATTTAAGATATTAAATTTCACACAAAGTATTGGTATGGGAAATTACTTATTTTTGAAAAAACTGTCATAATTGATTATTATAATTAAGCCATCAGTTGATGATTCTTATAAACACAACTTAGTATAATAAATATACAGCTCCATTAAAGAATTGTCCAGTATTACTTGGTGTAAAGTTGTATTATATAGCGTTTAAGGAATAACTCAGTATTACAAGGTGTAAACTTTAAGTCCTGTTAGATAGAACTTAAGGAACACCAGTATTACTAGATGTGGTGTTACATATCGTTTAAAGAACAGCTCTTTTTGTTAGGTGTTAAGCGTTATTATAAAGCTTAAGGAACACCAGTATTACTAGATGTGAAGTAGTGTTACATATAATTTAAGGAACAGCTCTTTTTGTTAGGTGTAAAGCGTTATTATAAAGCTTAAGGAACACCAGTATTACTAGATGTGAAGTAGTGTTACATATAGTTTAAGGAACAGCTCTTTTTTGTTAGGTGTAAAGCGTTATTATAAAGCTTAAGGAACACCAGTATTAATAGATGTGAAGTAGTGTTACATATGGTTTAAGAAACAGCTCAATATTACTAGATGTATAGTGGTAAAATATTATTGTATATTATGATGTTTTAATAAAGAGGATATTGTTGTATGTGCTTAAGGATGACGTCTATTTGCTGATCAAGAAGACATACATAGAAACGTGCAGTGAAATGATTTAGTGAATTCAAACTGAATATACTATAATATAATATGGAGTTGATCATCACTTACTGAAGTCCCAATGACCAGTGGTAATGGAAGAAGAAGAAAGGGAACAGTCAGTCCAAATAGTAGTTTCCAAGAGTATTTAAGCGAGCGGAATGGAGCAAGTATTTGGAGCTGTATCATCTTTGGGGATATTCAGTGCTTAATCTCGTATTTAGCCGATCTTCACACGTCTTCTCAAGTCCTTGCGATTTGGGATTATTTTATATAATTCCTTTCACCTTGTATCTGTGGTTAATTACTGGTTCTCTTCACTCGTAAATTGAGGTGTTAAACGTGTCTGTCTCCAGGTTTGGCCTAACAATTCAGTCTGGACAGCCAAAACATCACAAGTACACCAGAAGTGTCGACTCCTTCCTCGTAACCTGATTGGTCTTGCCTTAAGAACAGCGATAGCGATTTTAATTGTAGTTTCTAAGATATTCTGTGATTGGACGACAATTCTCTGCTAAACCAAAAGGTGAGGGGATGAAAAAAAAAGTTGGCGAAGTGTACATAACAAGTCGGGTGTGATGTATTTCACCCCTGACTTGTTTTTAAGTCTGCCATGACTCAGCACTTTTCGTATATATTCTGTAGATATTGAGTTGCTTTTATCTACTGATATTTATTTTCGAACAGTCACAGTAACAGTAAACAAACACCACACACTGAAGCTATATAAGTGACAGAAGAAAATAAATATGCATCAAATAGTCCCGTAGGTAATTAATAAAGGTAAGAAATAATTAATGTTAGAATAATATGAGTAAAATTAAACTCGAGATAGATTCGAATACTGGCTCCATCTAAACGGGTTGTTTTTTCAGGATATCAACAGCTGTAAAAGACAAAAATAGAATGAACCGGTCGTTATAAAGGACAGCCTACCAACCCCATAGTTCAGAGTAACTTAATACGAAAAACCGGTCTAACCCGTTGTTTTACGTTTCGTGTCTAAGTTTCGTAATGTGGGCTGTCTACTGCGTTGTACATGTAGTTATCTTAAAGTCATTGTACTGTACGTTTGTTGAAATGACATCGAAAACTTTAAACTGAAAAGAAGCAGACACGCGTTCACTCGAGGACTTCCAAGATGTGCTCCCTTGTTAATAATAAATAACACCTAAATAATAGAAAATAACGTGAAAATTACAAATCTTATTATGCTATTAGATAAAGACAAAAGGTACCCCAAGTCGCCGATAGAGAATGTAAGAAAGTGAAGAAACTTGATTGAAATGCAGAAGTTGTGGTGATTAAACTCAGTAGCCTAATGCAGCAAAGTTGACAAGTATGTATAATGTTTTCACTGAGATATAGGTTGACATAGCAACATTTTGATATTGACGTAGCAACGTGATGATATTGACATAGAATGGTTTTGACATTGACATAAATTGATTTTGATATTGAGATGGCAACGTTTTGATAGTATCAAAGCTACATGTTGATCTTGACATAGGTTCGTTTTGGTATTGGCAGCAACTTTATGGCATCCACAAAGTAACATTTTGGTATTGGCAGCAACTTTTTGGCATCCACAAAGTAACATTTTGGTATTGGCAGCAACTTTTTGGCATCCACAAAGTAACATTTTGGTATTGGCAGCAACTTTTTGGCATCCACAAAGTAGCATTTTGGTATTGGCAGTAACTTTTTGGCATCCACAAAGTAACATTTTGGTATTGGCAGCAACTTTTTGGCATCCAAAAGTAGCATTTTGGTATTGGCAGCAACTTTATGACATCTACAAAGTAACATCTTGGTATTGGCAGCAACTTTTTGGCATCCACAAAGTAACATTTTGATATTGACATAGAATCATATAGATACTGACATAGCAAAGTTTTGTTATCGACATAGTAACGTTTTATATTGACATGGTATCGTTTTGATATTCCCATAGAAATGTTTTGATAATGACATAGCAATATGCTGATATTGATATAACAACTCCTGATGTTGACATATCAATATCTTGATATTGACGCAACATCGTTTTGATACTGACATAGCACAGTTTTATATCGATATAACAACGTTTTGATATTGAATTATCATAGCTTTGTTACTGACATAGCAACATATGATATTAACAAAGCAACACTTAGATATTGGCTTACAATCCTTTTCATATTGAAATGCAACCGTTTTTATATTAAAATAGCATGTTTTAATATTTTCATAAAACGTTTTCATATTAACATAGCATCATTTTGATATTAACAAAATATGCTGTTACTCACACAGCAGGATATTCATATTGACACAGTAAAGTTTTAATACTCATGTAGCAACATATGCTTACTGACATTGAAAATACTTGATATTGACATAGCAACGATATTGACATCAACATAGCATCGTTTTGATATTAACAAAATATGCTGTTACTCACACAGCAGGATATTCATATTGACACAGTAAAGTTTTAATACTCATGTAGCAACATATGCTTACTGACATTGAAAATATTTGATATTGACATAGCAACGATATTGACATTAATATAGCATCTTTTTGATAATGAGATAGAAAGTTTTTGATATTATCATAGAATCGTTTAATAGTTTTATTATATTGACATAGCAACATCTTTTTATTGACATAGCATCTTACTGATACTGGCATATCAACGTTTTGTGTTGACTAACAGCAGATGATATTATGTAACAACGTTTGGATATCTACATAGCAACATGTTGCTATTGACAAAGCCTCGTTATGATATTGAAATAGAAGGTTTTGATACTGACATACAGTCGATTTGATATTGACATAGCAGTATGATGATATTAACATTGTAAAATTATTATATTGGTATCGCATCGTTTCGATACTGACATAGCACCGTTTTCCTATTGATATAGAAATGTTTTCATATTGCATATCATGGTTTTGATATCAAATAGCAACATGTTGATATTTATACAGCATCATATTGATATCGACACAGCAAAGCATTGATATTCACATAGCAACGTATGATATTGAATTTGCAACATTTGGATAATGC